ATGTGGTCAGGTAACGGTCATCCTGGTAAGGGCATCTGAAAGGGACAAGGAGGTCAGAAAATCCCCAGACTAGCAGGATAAAACTTGCAATTACACTCACCCATCATCCAGAAGGTCCCACTGAGGTAGACCGAGTGGACTGGGGATTGAAGTTGCCCAGCAGCGTCCCAGCGTCAGGACAATGTTGGGGTCGGTCCTCTCCATAATGCGCACTTCAACATACACAGGCTCACGCAGGACTTTTGTGATGGGATAATCAGCATCACTGTAGTAGGACGTGAAGGCCTCATCCCCTGAGGAACACTGGTGATTAACCAGAAACTGCTGCAACCTGGAGTCTTAAGATACTGGGAACATACCTTCTGCACACCCTTTGGTGACACACTGGCCATTGGCTAGTCTTAGCTCCACCCTGAGGGGTCCAGGGGCAGCTACTGGTGGAGGTGGAGGAACAGAGTTTACCTCCACAACCAGAGCTTCCACAGAAGTGCCAGAGTACCTACACTGGAAGAGAAGCCTGGACAACAGACGGGGAGCTTATAGCATTTATCAGATTAACGAATAAGAACAGCATAGATCACCTACTCAAAATGGCTGTCCCTTGTGATGGAACCAAACGGACCCATCCCCACTTCATACGAGGAGGTCATTCTGTTCTCATACACCACATAACCATTGTCCTCCTGCAAATAGCAACACTGTTGGCATCCAGTCCATCAAAGGCCATAAAGAATAAAACCATAAGCAGCTACTCGCCATCATTTTTGTACCACATGCGGTCACAGGGAACTGGTATACAGCAAAGGAAGGTGTGGACCCCACAGGACTGCAAGGTGGGTCATTTCCACCCAGTAGATGGACTGAATCCAGACTCAGTCGAGGCAGCGTAACATCTCTAGCCACCACTACCACAAACTGACCAGCTCTTATACACTGGACAGTCACTGGAACGAAGGCACAAGACCAGGTTAATGTCGAGGGTCAGTTTAACTGGGAGCATAACACCGACTCAACACTTACCTGCCTTCCCATAGTAACACTGCTGTCCGTTAAAGCAGCAGTTGATAGCTTCACATTCAGCACCACTGACACCAGGTTGTCCACATTGGATCTGCTCATAATCCGCTACAGCACATTTGTCCAAAGGCTCTGCCTTCAACACTTGCTTCTGAAACTTCTGAGGAAACTGCTGATTAGTCTGTTGAAATGGCTGCTGAAACTGCTGGTCAGGTTGCTGGATCATCAGAGCTTGAGGGTTCTGGGGCAGATTACTAAACTTTGGAAGAGCATGACAGAACGCACACAGTGCCAATAAATGACCCAACCACTTATTCCTTTTTAGCTTACTTAATATATCTTCTAGCATCATGCTTCCACCTTCTTCTATTACTTTAGCTTCTAGCATTTGTCGTTCGTTGTTATATGCTCTACAATGCAACAGTACATGCTCTACAGTTTCACAAATCCCACAATGCATGCATAATCCATTCGGATGTTTCTTAATTCTATTTAAATTTCCATTCAATGCAGTATGTCCTATTTTAATTCTTATTACTGATTCTTCTCGTCTTCTTAATCCCATGTCATGGTTACGCATTCCTACTTCCCTTTGAATTCTATATAAATGTCGTCCAGTCTTCTCTTTCTCCCAAAGTTTCTGCCATGCATTTATAAGAGCTTTCCTAATTATTATTTTTGCTTCTGCCTTACTAATTTTAATGTCAATTCCTATCTGATTCAAGTTCAAAGATTTCTTAGCATGCTTATCTGCCTTCTCATTTCCTTCAACTCCAACATGTGCTGGAACCCAAATAAATGAGATAAAAATGCCCTGATTTTTCATTCTATATATATACTGCAGTATTTCAAGTATGACATCTTGTCTGCAGTTAGACTGGCCTGATTGGATGCTCTTTAACGCAGCCAATGAATCTGAACATATTACTGCTTTTTTAATTCTATTTTCCTCTACCCACTGGAGAGCCATAACAATAGCTACCAACTCTGCTGTAAATACAGATAAAAAATCCGGGGTTCTTTTCTTAATAACTATTTCATAATGCGGAATAACTACTGCTATTCCTGTTTTCATAGTTTCTGGATCTTTTGAACCATCAGTAAATATCTGTATCATATCATAATACGTTTGATCCATATATTTATTAACTCTTATTTTTATTGGATCACAATCCTGTTTCTTCACTTCATCTGTTAAATAAAGATCTACTATAGGCATTACAAACATCCACGGTGGAACTGCTGACATGTGTACTGTATTACTGAATTTTATATTTTTTACATCTATCGATTCCGCTATTTCCTCCATTTCTTGTCCAATATTCTTAATATTACTTTTTCCATATTCCCAACTTTTTAAAAATATTGCTTTAGTAGGGTGTTCATTGTTGTGCCCCATCAAAGATGCTTCCACCAACTCTTCTAATTTTTCTTTTTGTAATTTTTTACATGGGTTATATAAGTTGATCACCCTGACGTTACCTTTATCTGTCCAGATTTCTACCATAACTTCTTTTTCATTATTAATTTCTCTATACCTCACGCCTTGTTCAATAAAAGTTACTACACCTCCACCTGTTCCTATTTCCCTGTCTTTCCTTACATTTTCATAGCCTTCAATTCTAAAATACTTGCCAGTGTTTTTTTTCTCTCTGCTTTTCATCTCTGCATATTAGCATTATATTTCCGTCACGTAGTGTTTTTGCATACTTAATGTTCCCTAGTTTCATTTTGAGTGCTTCCGTTATCTTTAATGGGTTCTTTAATCCAGGCACTTCAAATTTAATGATAACCTTATGTTCTTCCTTCCCATGATTCTTCGACTACTTTCCTCATTATCACTATCCATATTATGTTGATGTACTTTCTTCCTTTTCCTATTTACTAGGTTCCACTCCATTTCAGTCCTACCTCCCTCACCAGCTTCTTCCATCCATTCCTCCTGTTCACTTCCTGATCCATCGTCACTTCCTACCATCTCAGCTCCAGTCACAGTTGCCTGCTGCCTGCTGCCTGCTGCCTGCTGCCTGCTGCCTGCTGCCAACCGCCCTCCTCCCCCACTATTGAGATGCTGCCCTTTGGTCTTTTTGTACTCTACAGATTTCAACTAATTAGCTATCGTCCCTCCCTCTTCATTAACACTCATGATTCTCCAGACTTGCATTATTGATAGCTCATGCAACTGGGTGATTCTCATTGGTTCAAGATTAAATTCTTATTTCTTTCCATTTTGAACGTAAATGCACAAACTTAAACTGAATTCAAAATATTTTAATAATCTGATTGAAAAAAAAAAGTTACTGTAACTTGCCAAAGGTAGATTTTCAACTTTGTCCTTACCACTCTGTGCAGACAAGTGTGCTCTTACAGATATGACGAAATACTATTTTAAGCAGTAAATGACTTTAAATATATGGAAGCTTATTTCCACCTCAGAATAAAAAAATGAAAAAGGTAATTGCAACTTTTTTCTAGCAATTGTGAGTTTCTATCTCACAGTTTGCTTACATCTCAACGATGCTGACTTTATTCTCCAAATCTACCTCTTTCATTCCTTGGGGGAAATAAGCTTCCATTGAAGCAAGTAAGTGAAATTGATTGAAACCACTGGAATACAGAGTTAAAGAGAAACCCTGACAGCTTTTTATTCTTTAAGATCAGACCTCAGACTTTCTCTAGTAAAACATGACTGCTAAAAAAAAGAGAGCAATCTGAGTTAAATTAAACAATTGCAAATAGCAGCTAACTTAATTCTTGTGATGTGTGTACTGCTAGGCATATTTGATTTTCTCTTTTTGTATAATTTAAATGGTAAATATTCCTTTTTATCATTTGAATCACTTATCAAAAGTTGCCAAATAAATAATAAAATAGCTACTTTTGTTGCTAGGTGCTTTTGGAAGAAAAGTTGCTTGTGTAGACTGAAAAGTCAAGTCAAGTCAAGTCACCTTTATTTATATAGCGCTTTTATAGGCATCATCTCTTCTCAGGTCTTCTGGATCCAGACTGAAGCTTGTGTCAATCCTAGTTACCACGGGATGTGAATATACTGATATACTGATATATGGACCTTATATGGTATTCTTATTTGGCTGAGTTCTGTAAAGGGCTGATGGCCCTTATGTGGCCCACGTGTGGCTGATAAACCAAATGCCATTATTTAACCATATTTACACCCCACCTATTTTTTTTTTTTAAAATACCCATTACACAGTAAATCTTGAACACAAAAATAGATTCACACTAATTTTTCAAATATTTATTGTAGAATTTTAATAACATAATTACAATACAGAACATAACAGAAGTGTGCTATTTTGCAAATGTCAGATGAGTGAATAAATGTACAAACATTGATACTTTTAGTAAGTCTCGCCAGTCTTTCTCACTCACAGTCTGTCAGGAAAAAGAAGAGAAAAAGAACATTAGTATATCATAATTAGTATCATACATTAGATATTAATTCAAGACAAGCACATAAATTACTGTAAACCAGCACTGCACACATTCTTTTCTACAAGACATGAGTGCCTTTTTAAATTAGGAAAATTTTAGCTACTTTAATAACAGGTTATTTTTAGACATAATGCTTAATTATATACATAATATTAATGAAAACATTAGTGTAATTGTACCTCAGTTTTGAAGTCACAGTTTCATACATTTTTGGTACAGCAGGGGGAGGAAACATACAATTGCTTTATATATATATATATATAAACTTTTTTACTGAACAATTTATGGCTTTGCTTTTAAATAAACTCAATTATAATTAAAATTTTCTTAAGGATAATTTTTTTTTTAGATATAACCAACACTAAAAAAATGTATGCAAACATATAAACTGCACATTTGCATATTGCACTTTTCTAGCAACAAGCTGTGGACACTGAATGGCTTGCCTGCTGTAAAAGTAACGCTGTTTTGGCATTTTTCCACGGTTGCAAAACTGATTAGGATTACATGACATGAGCATGTTTATTTCGCGTTATAACCGGTTGTAACTAGTAGAAAAGATAATTAAAGGGAAGGGATGATGATATTTGGCTGACTCTGGGCTGGGTTATAGCACTGTATTAGTTCAGTTCTGGCTAAAAAGATGTGGACTAGTTTTGGGCCGGCAAACACAAACGAATCTGGGCCACACTTTAGCTGTTGATATGATCCAGATCTGTTAGATGAAAAACACAAGGAAGGATGAACACATTGCTATTGTGCACATACACAGAAACTGTAAAGCATGGACCCTTTCATTAAAAAGGCTTATTTCTGCTACTGTAGGCTCATTTTGTATGTAAGCAACAAGCGCAAGGTGGGTGCTAAATGCAAATGTAATTGGCCACATTTACAAAATCAGGCGATTATGTTCGCCCATCTATGTAAATGTGTCTTTATGTAAAGAGACAAAAGAATGAGGTTATCAGTTTGATTGTGTATCTTTGCAAAGAGACTGATGAATGCACCAGAAAACAATCTTGAGCTTTTGGTTTTATTTCTCATCAAACACAAATCATAAGGAATTCCAATTTTATTTTTTATAATTTTTTTTAAATATAGCGCCTTTCAAGAACCCAAGGATGCTTTACAAAATCATACAAGGAATTGGCAAACAAAATACACCAGACAATCAGACAAACAAGTGTTGACAACAAAGAACTACAGATAATTAACAACAAGAGGTCATGCAATCATATGATGAACATCAATTATGTCAAGAAGGTGGTCACGTGTCATACAGACAGAAATTGGGAAATTGAGAAGCAGAAAGGTAAATGAGTTATTTAGAGAATAAAGTGAATAGATGAGTTTTAAGTTGAGACTTAAAGGTCTGGAGTTAGGAGGCAGCCATTTTTAAGCATTTTTCTAATTTTAATTGGCTCCACTTCCGAAGATTCACAACTTCAAGACGACTTTGTTAAATGTGTACACCTGTGCACCAGGAAAAAATGCATTTGTTCCCTGGTTTATGAATGTCCTAAAGACATGCAGCATTGTTTTTTTCCTCTTGACTTATTATAAACCTGACATAAGTTGTTTTCTCGTGATCTAGACATAACAAAATAGCTGGTAACTTCAGAAAGTAAAAATAAAATATATAATAACACTTAGTTAATAACGTTAATTAACAAATATTAATAGTTAATGTTTGGATAGTTAAAAATGTTTATCCCGGTGTGAAAACGCCCTCTAAAAGTTGGCTTACCCACCACCAATAAACGCTACAAGAAGAAGAAGAAAATGCCCTCTTTTGTGTTCTACTTGAGCTGCAGTCCTGGATTCAGTGAG